TAATACCTATAATGGAATTAACAGGGTATATTTGAACATGCTCACAAAGCGATAGTAAATTCTTCGTAGAATTTATGGATTCAGTACTCCCAGTGTCAATTATGAAACAGTAAAACTCGCTTGAACTTTTAGTGGAGGTTCTCATCAGATGAGATTCAGTTCTGTGAAAATTTGAAAGAGACACTGACTGCATTTTACCGGACAAATCGGGAGAATCATGAGAATTCTGAGTAGCATAAGTATTGGAACTCTGGCAAACAGAATTTATGCACCCAGTTTTACCACTTTTAAGACACTTAGCACCCCGAAAATGGCACGTGCTTCTTAGTTGAATCTTCACACGGGAAAAACACGGTTTTATGTTTCGCTTTCCGTCTGCATTCTGTTACATGTGGATGACAGTTTGAATTTCTGTAGTGAACACCTGAATTATCACCTTTGGACAGCATGACATCAGACATCGACAGAGCGGGGGCTGGGTATTCACTGTAGACATCTTCATATGTAATACATAAATCCTATATCATTTTACAAATCCTTATCAGTTTGAAAGTTGCAGGAAGAGACTGAATCTGCTCTTTGCAAAACTTCGGAATATTGATCCCTCTAATTAGACGATCACGTAGTTGATTATGGAGCTAATCTCCAAAGTTGCGCTTTTAAGTTTGTATCTGAGGCTGAAGAATAAAGTCTCTAATCTTCTGGTTGGGAGCGCAAACAAGTTTGTTGAACTGAGTCCTCTCTCGTGTTTCGAAAGTTGTTATGTGGAAGTGATCTGTTAGAAGACCACAGAGTTTATCATATGGCAGAGAAGTGGTTTGTCTGGAAATGACAAAGTTTTAACTAGACTATGCTCACCTAGCCCAATCTCATTGATAAAATGAGCTGAAATGTTGTCATGTTGAATATTCTTTGACATGCGCTATGCGTCAAAGTATTCAAGAAAATCAGCGATTCTCCACGGCGAACGGTTCATAGGAAACTTTCCAAAACTATTTAATTCTACAGAGACGCTAAAATGTAATAATTTTTTGTAATAGTAGTGTTTCGCAAAAACACCTGAGTAATCCAAGATCTAAGATCATTGATTGTACGATTACGTCTGGATGTTCGTTTGATTAGCAGTAAGTAAGTAAGTAAGTAAGTAAGTAAGTAAGTAAGTAAGTAAGTAAGTAAGTAAGTAAGTAAGTAAGTAAGTAAGTAAGTAAGTAAGTAAGTAAGTAAGTAAGTAAGTAAGTAAGTAAGTAAGTAAGTAAGTAAGTAAGTAAGTAAGTAAGTAAGTAAGTAAGTAAGTAAGTAAGTGAGGAAGTAAGTAAGTAAGTAAGTAAGAACTTTGCAGCTGTGACAGCTGGTCACCCGCATAGTGACGAGGTCTTGCTCTGACTTCAGCTCCTCTATTCACCAAGAGGAGTGTGCCTTTAGTCATGTAGCTCACGTAGAAAAGGCATACATTATTATTATACAATGTTATTCATCTTGGTTTGGTACTATTCTTACCATCCATGAACTTCAATACCACCGGGTTCTGAAGGGTATGTTTGTAGGGTGCTGTGATAGTTTCCTTGATGCTGATTTACTGGCTGTGAGTAATTGATTAATGCGTTTTTCATTAGAGATCCCCGTTCGCTCCATTGGGACTGCTTTAAGTCTGTCATATCGGTGGCCTGCTGGGGCGGTGCCAATTAAGTTTGTGATGTCTTTGAACATCTGGTTAGGGATTACCAGTAAGACTCTTCTTTAGCTCCTCTATATCAACTCAAAATTTACGCCTATAGAACTAAGTCATGTAGGCATGTAATACGCTCACAGAAGCTAATAATACATATGCTCTTTTGATACTTACCACTGAACATCGCTCTTCGTTTAGTTATTTATATACTTGAAGCAGGTTGTACGCTTTTCGCTCATCCCGCGGCTTTCGAAATTTGATTTCGTCAAAAATACACCTGTTCAAGTTATCACTTGTGCTTTGTCGCTCGCCTTTACCGTGTACAGCGTTCGATTATCACAAGACACGAAAACGTGTACTATAGTTTCATAATTGGAATCGATTTATTACCCTATTTTTCCATACTTGATAGTCTGAGGTTTGATATCTCATGCAACAAATAAGGGCTCAACAGTTACAAACAAGATTCGCGGCCCAGTGAAACAAAACTGAGGTAGACGCACATTGACAATCGTGTTTATTTAGGCGTCCTCTGTCTCGCCATCCTCATAATTTTCCAAAGGGGCAAATGAATGGTGAGATGGTTTGATAGACATGTGGATATACAGATTGACAGACAAGAAGATGCAATCACAGAAATGATAATCAGAGAAGCAGAAACAGGCAGTAACCCTACAAACATCCAGACGGGCTCACCAGTTTAATTTGCAGGAACAGAAAATGAGCTCGATAAGTGTGTGAAATATCAGAATAAAAATCCAAGTCGGTATAGAATGCCGAGACAATATCGCATAGCTACCTAGATAAATGAGTCATCGAAGATGAGGAATATTATTTGTTGTGCTGCTCTATTTGACCAAACTAGCGTACACATATGTCCTAGTACTTCTTCGTGTTTATTATTGTATCCTAACGTGATTAATCGACATCAACAACGTAAATTAAAAGGCACTTGAGAAGGAGTACGAACGTATATTATTGCAGAAATCAAAATTTAAAAGTTGAGCTAGTACAATGTATCAATTGTTAGCACGCAATCTTTAGAATGATAAACAAATCAAAGTCCAATTACATAATGAAATTATACTACGATGATAAATAATAAAATGGGTCACTACAAGTTATGGTCCGCTTCTACAAATCAACAATATAGTCCACAGATACGGTTTACTGCTGTGCTGTGTCCATAGGAAGAATTTGTTCACCCATGGTTGAAGGGTCTTATGAAAAGATGTTCCTCTTATTTCCGAAGAATACAGTGCAAGGATTAGCAGAGCAACTAGACAGTGGAAACCAAAGAGAAGACAAAACGAGGCACGGCACGACTATATTTTCATTCGAATGTGAAAGTTGTGTATATCTGACAACAATTTAGATTAAATCAAAGTCATGTGCAATGTGTCCTTTTTTAACATTTAGCAAAAACTGTACAAATTTATGGTTTAGAAACCCACAAGGGCACTTCAGTTGCAAAGCGTCCGTTTGTTGAGGAAATTTGCATCTTCTCTTTCAGCTGTCCAACCACGCTAGTTCGAGGGCTTCTATCTGTCTGATAGATCACGACATTATGACGGTCTTAGAGAATTTTAGCGATAGAAAATACAGCAGTGAACTTGTCATTCCTCAGATTCAGAATCATTTGTGTATTCATATTAGACTTTGTGAATTCTTCCAACTAATTTGTGCAACATAAGCTGTAGTAAGTCCTTTTCTTCAATCGGGTAAGTGATGAATAATGATGTTGTAGAGCTTGAGAGTTAGGTTACATAAAGTAAAGTAAAGGATCGCGACAAATTTTTACCCAACCAGTTTGCAGCAATAACAGCTTCTGTGTCCCATAGGAATTCCTGTCCGGGCATTACTTCTGACTCCTATTGTATTTGAAATACCTCTCTGATCTGCTGATGTGCCATTTTTAGGCTTTATCTCCTTCCGATTATGTCCTCTGATACAACAGCTATATTCTTGTTTGTTGTTGCAGAGGTAGGGAATTTCATATAGTGGATAATCTGTAGCTTTTATCGCCTTTCAACAACAGTGTTCATTATCTCTGTTTCAGACTACTGGTTAGCTTGGAGGTAAGCAGTTAGGCCTTCACGCCGCTTGACTTTGTGTCGCGTCAAATTCCGTTTCCCATATATCAGCTCTTGTTTCCCAAAGGCCCGTCTTGGCGTGATAGCACTCATGCCAAAATATGCCTTGTAGTTGGTCATAGTTGGCCACACAACATTCATAAACGTTAGGACAGTGAGTAGACAAGTTTACAGTTCTGAAAGCTGTGTGAGAAATGGGCCTCATTGAGCTTCAGTTCTTGAAATGACCAGCCATGACTGGGTGCGCGGTCATTATTCTCAGATGAAATTAAAATGTATAATTAAATCTATCAGTCATTCGATTGACCAGCTGTGATAGATTGCAAGGGTGATAAGCACATTTGGATGAGGGCCTGACAAGTTGCTGAGATTCACAGTTAACATAATTCCTTCAATCAGCAAGGGTTTAATCAATGCCCCTTGTAGCTCACATCGTTCTGCATGCTTGTGTGTGCTCTTGTATTTGGTTGGGAAAACCTGAATTGTCGATACAAGCTAATGCCCAACCACTCAGTTAATACATATAAATTTAAGTGACAGCAAATAAAAATGTAAATAAATCTCAAACCATCCTATGTAGCACATGAACGCTGAGTTCCCCGAAACTTGCTTTAACACTTACACCTGAAAAGATCTTTCATATACCATTCTCATCTATCCGTAGATGGGCATGATTCATAGACGAAAGGCCAAAAATCCCAGTCAGGTGAATGTGTTGTCCAATTTCATATAAGGTAGTGACGTCTGAGCTATTCTACGAGACCGGCACTTCCGGTGACGCTTCCATGGTTAAATTGACGTTGTGTTTCAGAAGTGCACTACCATCCCAGTCTGTGTTAGATTTCAGAGTCAAACTAATTAAAGCACACTTAAGATTTAAAATATTCTACCCCGGGCATCCCTGAAATTTAGAAGTCAGCGGAGGGTCTTGTGTTTTGTCACTTTGAGAAGTTGCTACCCTAGTAGGCGTACTAAAAATACTGCTTAGAATACACAAGAACTAGTGTTTCTTTTCCGACTGCACAGTAATTATCTTCGTCACTATTCGAAGCATCGTTGGCACATACGAACTGCTCGAATTCTAAACCTCAATTTCATGCAAGAAGGCAGTAGACTGAAAAAAGAAACTACCATGTAAAGATTATCACAAGCTTGAAACATTCTCTTTCTAATGAAAAATTTAACTTCAATTTCCTATCCAATTTCATTGGATATTGGACAACGAAAATGTAAACAGTCTCTTTTTGAATCATGACGACAGTATGGCAGTTGGTGAAATCTGTAATGCAGGTGAAGTAAAAGTTACTGGTATTGGTGAAATTACGGCGGAACCTGATTGCTGCACAGCGGAATTCGTAGTTTGCTCTCGGAAACCTACAACCTCTGCAGCAGAAGAAAGTGCGAGGAAACGAGCGGAATACGCTCGACAAGAGATAAACTCCCGATGTTTAAAAGTAAATTTTTGATTTGATATTTAATTTCTTTAATATTGCAGAAGTGTAATATCGTGGAGCATTTCGATATAATTCAAGAAGGTACTTTACTCTGTGCTCTTTATAAATTTGAGATAACTACATGTGATATTTCTGGGATAAAAAGCTTATTAGGACATCTTAAGTCCAAGCTCCCGTCCTATGTTAAACTTGGAAGCGTGAGATTTTTCTTCTCAAAAAAGAAGCTGTTTGATATAAGGCAAGTTTCTTTTACGCAAATTTTAATGTATTACATGTATAGTTGCTTTGGGTTTCAGTGTAAATGAGAATTTTTCAGTCTTTATTAGAAGTAAATAGTTTGAAAGATTGATCATTATACTTCCAAAGGGGTGTAAAACTTGAACCTATGATTTTAAAAGTTGTAGCACTTATTCATGAATAGAAGGCTACTGTAGCAATTGCTTTAAACTGAGCAACTGTTCAGTCGAAATCCAACTTTTAAAATTCCGTGGTTATTGTCATGGGGGAGTTGTTTTAAAGGTACTCACTTGTTTCACAAGCCAAGAGTAAAGGAAATAGAACTATATATATATATATATATATATATATATATCAGCCGATAGTCTACTTAGTCATCGGGAGTCATGATGCACAGTGTTGGAGAAGCTACCTTTTGGAGTTAATTAGCACCAAACAGATGCCTTAATTAGTTAGTGAGATGAAAAGTGTTTTCGAAACCAATGCCGAAGTTTAAGTATCGGCGTGTCACACACTTTTGGTGAATAAAATGATGGACAGTCAAAATGACTCGAGCTATTTTCAAGATGCACCATTTTTAATTTCAGCTTGACATCGATACAGCGTCTTGAATTCTTGTAGAAGTCAAGGGAACTTAGGGTGTGTGATAGAGTTTGCCTGATGAGACACTTCCAGAAGTGTTTCAGTATGTTAAGCCAAGATTTATAGGTGTATTTGGACTTGAACTAGTGCATAGAATTCAGGTGCGATTTTTCGCTTATTTTTCACCATAGGTAACTCTGATTTTCAAGGAGAGGTAAAAACCATGTATTGAAAGGCTGGGGGAAATTAGATTAGTTAATGAAGGTTCTGAAATATGATTGCTCATCATGTTTTATTGCAGTTAGGAAGCAAGAAAGACATGATCTAGAGTGCATACAGCAAATGTTCACCGCTTTTTGAACCACGGAACTCAGACACAAATTCAAGCACCATATTTTTGTTGTATACCTTGACGCAAAAGCATTAGTCCACTGTACTAGTTCAGTCTTACATTATCATCGAGCATCAGAGACTTTTTGGTGCGTATATGTCCTTACAGAAGGTTCTGTGCTTCAGTGCTGGAGTAGTCCCACAATTCAATAAGACTTCTTTATTTCATTAATTTTTCTTTTGTGTTTCAGAATTTTATGACCTATTACTGTACGGTATCTACTTCTACTATTTCCCAGTTAACTCTTATCCTTTGAACCGTCGAATAATAAAGCACACGCTTTGATAAAGCTCAGCCCATGCATTTGGATAGGACTAGATATTATCACAGAGCAGTTTTTACAGGCTCGGAGGTGATTTTGCAGCATTCCATGATCACTGCTTAGCAACATAGTTTCAAGCATTAACATACTGGTTGTTGAAGGAGATACACTGATGGTATACTTGCCAGAAATCAGCTAAGTACTCTTTTGTTTGACAGCAAAGACGATGATCTTGATAAAAACTGATATAACTAAATAGTATTTCACATAGGTTAGCCTACATCGTCTTACCTATACCACAATGCTGTTCAGTGGAATCCGGAGAAAGACTGTTTTAAATCCATTTTATGAGAGTTTTCCTCTTTCAGACCCGATTAGACTGACTCTTCTGATCTATATGTAATTATGTGTAAACTAACGTTGAACATGTGTAAAGGTAGTCCTCTAGTCACCCTTTCATAAAATGACCCAGCACTGCTTTTTCTACCTAAATCAAGCAATCCATCCAGTTCATGAAGTCATATTCTGCTTAAAGAACCGGAGGTTATATAACTCCTATAACAATCCTCTAAAGACTCTTTTCCATTCTTTGACTTTAATGAAGATGCTTCGAAGCCTTGAATAGTGTTGTAAACTGTATTACTGTGTCTAACAGAACACCTCATATGTCTCGTGCCCTAAACAAAGTCTTATGATTAGTAATTTTACTAACTCGGCGTTTATTCTTTGTTTTTTTGCAGACCTACTTCGTACTGCAAAAGCTAAAGTATTAGTAGTTATTTTGCACACCTTAACTTCCTATCACTGTACATATAGGTGCTCGGAGTTAAGATTACTGACCACTTCAAACTTTGAACCAAGGCTGGAAGGCTTTATACTATGCGATTCTCATCAGTAAGAAGGCAATATTCTTTGTTAAAGCATGTTACTGGCATCAAAGATAACTGTATAATCTGTCGAACCATGATGAATTTAGATTCCCTACAAACTTAGATAACCAGCATGAGTCTGACTTGCTTTAATACTTCTCTACAGTAGATTACAGAGTAATATTCACTTTTCAGAATCATATGCTCCTGTTATCTTTCTTCGCTGAACAGGAAAAGTTCATTGTGTTTACGACAGAACGTATATATATGTTTATATATTTATAAAGTGTAACAAAATAGAAAATGGATGTTGGATTATGTGATGAGAAAGGAAATTAAGGTACTTCACATTAAAATACATAAATAAATACTGAGAAGGGTTTGAAAATTCTTGAGAATGTGAAGTCCGAGCCTGTTTAGTTCTAGTGACTGACTGAACGACGGGCTATTCTCATAACTTGAAGGTCCTGGGTTCGTTCTCCTTTTGGTTCATAGGTGCTTCGTGATGAAGAGTCTCAAGCTTGGACGAAACAGTTCTTCAGTGTTTCCTGACTTTCAGTGGCTCTTTAAATAATATCAGTTCTTGATCTAATTTGGAAGCGATCAAGACCATGGAAACCAACCTCTGAAAAACTGTTCATGACAAAATTAGTCTGACAGTCATCTGAACCTGTTTAAGTCTTGTTCGAAATACCGTTACAGTTATTGGTGTGAATAAAATTAAATTCGTTATTTGTAAACTGCACAGTTGGAGGTAAAAATTAATCACGGTCACCTATAGAAACTAAGAAACATTCAGGTCACAATATGTAATCTGCTTGATATCAATCATAGATACCGATAAGGAAAGCAAGCGGGATAGCATGATGGTTTATACAGCGTGTTTAAAGTAGAAATAACAATTTGAGGATAAAATCTTCATTAGTGAAGAGCTGCTTTCATTGCTTAGATTGATGAAAGTCATCGAAATATAACTGACTCGAATAAAATTTGTTATCCATAAATTTAAATTGGATACAGTCATTGGGTTCAACAATTTCTCATTTCTCTGAAACACAAACCAATAGTCCTTTGGGACAATTTAAATAAGATTTATTTTTCAAACCTAAGTCTGAATAATTTAGATTAAAAAGTTATGTAATAATTCATTTTTTGCAGAGTTGAATAGGTGAAGTGTAGCATAGTCTTCTTGCGATAATCATAGGGGGATCCATTCGGCTAATACAGTGTCCGAAATTCCAGTGTCAGTAGCCCTGCAGGGACTAAAGAGTGCCCAGGAGAAACAATCCCGTGGAAACCCAGCAGGCTTTAGTCCCGGATGAAGGTGTATTGATCATATATTCAGTCTTCGACAGATTATGGAATACAGGCATACTTATCTGCGTTCAAAACTTGCCATACATCTTTACCCTAAAATTGTATTGGACTTTGTCAACGGAAAGCTGCTGTGGAAAATTTCGGTATTGAAAGGAGTGCCGAGAAGTATATCACACTAATTGAAGCCTTTTAATTGATCTTATGCATCTATGTAAGAGCTTATGGAAATTTGTCACTTGAAATGATGACAACCAATGGTATCTGTCAGGGAGGTCCGGTATCTCCATTTTTGTTCAATTTCATCATAGATGTATTAATGGATTTGATCGTAAGTAACTTTAGCGATTCAGAGATTGACTTGTTACCGGAATTGGATATCACTGATTTACAGTCTGCAGATGATATAGTACTTCTAGGCGAGGGTGCTGAAAAATTCCAGCCTTCTGAACGTCTTCAACGAAAATCTTAGTATATTTGGTATGCATTGATACTTCAAGACTGGCCTGCTTCGACTCCTCACGTAATGATAGGGGTGCAACCTATTGGCCACTCTTCTTGTTTATTATTATTATTATTGTATCCTTTAATTCCTAGAGGAACATAGGGATTCAGCCGTGCGTCTCCATTGCGTTCTGTTCTCTGCTAGAGTCTTCACCTGGCTCCAAGTCTGCCCACACGTTTTCATCTCCTCTTCATATGACCTCCTCCAAGTCACCCTTGCACTGACGACCAACTCGCCGCTTCTCTTTCGGGTTCCACTCGAGCAATGGCTCGTCTAGTGATGTCACTTGATGGTTTCCTAAGAGTATGGCCAATCCATCTCCATTTCTTCCTGCATATTTGTTTCACAATCGGTTCCTGGTTGGTTCGCTCCCAAAGATCCCTGTTGCTGATCATTTCTGGCTGGCCATCTGATCTTGAGTATTGAGCGAAGACAACTGTTAATGAAGATCGGTAGTTTGTTTGAGATGCTCTTTATGACGCGCCAATTCTCTGATCCATATAGTAGCACTGACTGACTTCACATTGGAGTTGAAAATCCGGATCTTATTTTTGACACTGAGTGCTGTTGACCTCCACGCAGACTTGGGCGTAGTGAAAGCTTGTCTTGCTTTCCCGATCTTTGCTTTGATATCCTCGTCAGTTCCGCCTGTAGTTGAAACAATGCTTCCCAAGTAGGTAAAGGAGGTAGTTTCTTTCAGGTTCCTTCCATTTATGCTGATTGCTGTCTGTTGTTGTTGCTGTGGCTGTTGGTGTTGGCCAGGAATCTTCATCACCTCTGTCTTCTCTATGTTCACCTGAAGTCCTTGCTATCTTTGATGCTTCTTCTGCTAACTTGTTGCTTTTCGCTTGCATACCTTCCAGTTTGTGGGAAATCAGACATATATCATCGGCGAAGTCAAGATCCTCCAAGTTTTTTGTGTGTGTCCATTTTATGCCTGTTCCCTCATTGCCCACTGTTTGTCGCATTATCCAGTCTACTGCAATCAAGAAAATCATTGGCGATAGTAGGCAGCCTTGTCTTACTCCTGTCCTCACTTCGAAGGGTTCCGTAAGTTTCCCATTGTGAATTACTTGGCATGCAGCATTGTCGTACAGCTGTTGGATGAGATGTATAATTGTCGGTGGCACCCCGTAGTAGCGAAGTAGTTTCCAAAGCACCTCTCGATCGACGCTGTCGAAGGCCTTTTCAAAGTCGATGAAGTTGAGATAGAGAGGTGACTGCCATTCCAAGCTTTGTCCAATGATGATCCGTAATGTGGCGATCTGATCAGTGCATGACTTGTTTCTTATTTATATCAGTCCTAATGAAATGGTTACTAAGTCTCAGAATGGAAAAATGCTTTTGTAGCATTTGCCCCTTTACGTCTTTCTTGTGTAGACGTGATATCCTACCTTCATTCAAAGAATGTGTATACCACGCAGCAGTTTGCTCTGTCATTCTTTGTGCCTGTGAGACAAGGCCGTTGAAACGTGAAGACATGAAACACAACGCAGACATCTATGATCAAAGAAAGCTGTGTTATCTCTCGTATTAAGCGGTATAATATGTTGAGTGATATTGAGGTTAGTCGGAGAGTGGTAGGTAAGGGAGGGTAAGTAAGTTGATAAGGTTGTGAAGCTACATCGAGTAAGCTGGCTAGGACATGTGCTGTGCATTCCAAACCATCTCCTTCCTGGACGGCTAATATTAAGTCGTAAAAGAGTTAGGGGTGGTCTAATCAAGTCCTGACTCCAGTTCAAGAAATGTCTGATAGTTGTTTTGAGCCACATAGGGAGATGTAGGCTGCCCTGCTGGGGTCCTCGGGATAGTAAGAACCAGCGGCTTGACACTATTGGAGAAATGACTCAAAACCGTTCTAAGTGGTTCAGATGCGTTCACTCATTTTAGTCTCCTGGATCCATTAAATCCTTTAGTTTTCCATAGAGTTATTCTTTCTGGCGTACATTTCTGCTCATTGCATTTCTTCTGAACTAGTTTTTACTTTTTTCTACATTTATGTGCCATATGCAGTGTGGCAACCTGGATTGCTACACATTTTGCGCAAAGTTCTACGTTGAGAATCCAGTCAGCCAGTCAGTCAGTTATCTTGTTAGTTGACACTGATGGCAGATCCTTTAAATCAATGCCAGTTAATAAAAGATTAATTTTGAAATTGGAACAAATACTGACTAAATATTTTGCGAAATAGTATAAATTTATGCTACCTCGGCTTAGAAATAACTGGAACCTCTTAGAGATATGCAAAAGCACTGAATAGGCAGCGGCTTACACACGAGAGACTTTTCCCCTCTTCATCTTTGGAGCCTGCCAAGATCAAACCCAACGCAATCGATCAGTTCAAATGAAACTGTCGCAGTTCTACGTGATGTTAAAATAGATATATATTGGAGAAGAGTTGGGGAATGTCAGAAGGAAATAAGGCTACAATCTATGAATTCATTGAGTGGTAGCTTTAAATATATATAGGGAGGTGTAGTTTGTCTGGTTGCGGTTCTTGAGATGCTAACAATCAATAGTTGAAGATTGTTATTGATATGGCGAAATATTGTTCACAACGGGGAATAATTATTCATTCCTTATGATCTATCAAATTCTGTAGCTTCTTCCTGTTTTAAATCTAACTGTTTCCTCTTGCGTATATATTCGTCTGTCATGGTTACATTATATCTCTTTTATTCAGTTTTGTTAGTGCCAACGAGAAGTGTGGCATGCTGAAGTGCTTCACTTTCATGCACAGCCCTACATTTATAAGTCAGTTAGTCATGCAAGCGAAAGTTGAAGTCCAGGTTTATGATTTACGAATGATTACTAATCCCGCTGTAGATTAGCCATCTACAGAAAATCATCGATTCTAATACTTCAGATTATAACCTAAATATCTGTGTGCTTTGATATCTATACTGTAATTAAGTCACTGATTTGGTTTAACGTTTCATAGTGAAACGTAAACATTATGTATTATCATCAGTTGGAGTTCACCATCCATAAGGTCATTACATTCGGTTGAAACCTTAAGTGGCCCTTCTGTATAGACCAATTGAAGATGAGGAGGAGTACTTATCGATCACTAAGAAAACTAGTCATACAATAACAGCCTATATAACTCAGTGGTAATGTCACTGTGCTTGAAGTCTGTAGATCCAGTTACCAAGTATCTTTATGATGTGCAACTTGTTTTCCATGCGGTCTGCCTTGTGGTTGGTTTTACCGAAAGCTGTGCTCGGCCTGTACGGAATTCATCTTCTTTTCCCCCTCCATAGTTTCACGGTCATAAGCTGTTGATTGGTTGCCGGAGTTGTTTATTGCTAATCGTTTCTGACGATTTGATCTTCAATATGGATTGATGGATGTCGTTGATGAGAATCTGCAGTAGTCTGTTGGAAGTGATTTTCATGACACACCAAATTTCTGATTCATTTTAGAAGCGCTGACTTGATTAACATCATTGTTGGAAGCTGAAATCTTTTTCCTTATGCTGAGCGCAGTAGATTTCTACAGTGACTTCAGAGTGATGAACGCCTGTCTTGATTTTCCGGTTCTGATTTTGATATTCTTATCCGTGCCACTTCTAGTTGTAAGTGAAAGAGGTGATTCCTTCTAAACTTCTCCCGTTGATGGTGAGAGATGTTTGTTATTGGTAATAGTCAGGTGTCTACATTACCCGTATCTTCTCTATGTGTTCACCTAAGGTCCTGTTTTCGCTGTCCCTTCTGTTAACTTGTTGCCTTTCACCTGTAGGTGACACGTTGAGGTATCTGCTATTTTTGAATATTTTTATAAAGTTGATATTCGTCATTTAAGTCTGTCATTGGTCAGTATAGTGTTTTGTTCTAACTTCATTTTTTAAACTACCACTGCATATTATCATTCCTTTAATCAATTTTTCGTTGTTGTTGTTATATAGAAAAGAGGCTGTTGCACAGGCTGTATCAGACGCCAAACATAAAGCTGAATTAATCGCTTCTGCATTTGGTCAAAGAATTCAAGGATTAATTAATGTTATTGAAAATGAATACGATTCTAATTGTGAACAACAAGTGATGCCTGCATCAAGATCAAATGGTTACAATGGACATCATCCATTGAAACAATTGAATATCAATAATAATAGTAATAATAATAATAATAACATTGCCTGTGAAGGTGGTAGCATTTTCGAAGGAAATTCCTTACAAGACCAACCATTCAATTGGAATCAATCTTTAAGTGCTGCTCAAAGACACATACAAATAAAATTGAATGTTGTTTGTGCTTTAAGTGATTTTAATAATTAAGAAAAAAATGCTTTGTTTAAATTAACCACAAGGTCATTGCCTAGACCTTCTTGATTATTTCACAATCAATCAATCAATCAACCTTATTCATGTATATGCACAATCTGTGATTTTGAATAATTCATCTTTAGGTATTCGATAGGAATGATGTATTTATCTCGCTTCTGCTTTCTTTTTTCACTTTACTCACATGTCTTCTTACCAGATTATTCTAGAATATCTAAAAGTGATTTGTGAAATAAACTGTATTTATGCATGTGTACAAACAATCCGTTCTTATTTTCCGTCAAATTTAAAACACTTCAACATTTCGATAAAGTAAAGCATGTGATTGATGTGGGATAAAGAGTTCTCAGGAAGTTTGTTTACGAATGAACACAGGTGTTTGGTGGTTTGGAGACCTTACTTAGAAGGTATAACTTGCAAACATTATCCATATTCTGCTTCTTTTGTGTTCATTTCACGCTCCCTATATTGCTTCACAATTATCTGCATATTTCTCGTTTGTAACTTAAACCCTGTACTCCGCTATTAAAGACTCTTGCAGACGACACCATCTACGATACTACTTACAAACTGTTATTAGTATTGGCATACTCTGCAAGTTTAGCTTTGAATATTCTATTTACTAACTATTGCACGTGTCTTCAGACTTTAATTTTTTGAGGTTTTCTTTTAATAAAAAAGGTCAAGTCTATACATTCATTAATCAGTTACAAACTGAGTTTTCTTTCACTTATCTTTAGCTGTATTATCTCACTAACAGTCGAAGATGCTTAGCGTAAATATGACTTGATTTGGAAGATCTGGACTTCACCGGTGATATGTGTCTGATATCTCACAAACTGGAAGATATGCAAGTGAAAAGCAACAAGTCGGCAGAAGAAGCATCAAAGATATGACTTCAGGTGAACATAGAGAAAACAGAGGTGATGAAGATTCCTGGCCAACAGCAACAACTGTGAAAGAAGCAACCTCCTTCACCTACCCACCTAACTGGGAAGCATCGTTTCAACTACAGGCGGAAATGACGAAGATATCAAAGCGAGGATCGGGAAAGCAAGGCAAGCTTTCATTTCTCTCAAGTCTGTATGGAGCTAAACAGCACTCAGCATCAAAAATAAGATCCGGATTTTCAACTATAATGTGAAGTCAGTGCTACCTACTATACGTATGGATCAGAGACTTGCACTGCGCGTCATAAAGAGCACCTCGAACAAACTACAGACATTCATCAACAGCTGCCTTCGCTCAATACTCAAGATCAGATGGCCGGCCAGAAAAGATCAGTAACAAGGATCTCTGGGAGCGAACCAACCCAGCAGGAACCGATTGTGCCACAAATATGCAGGAATTAAAAGAAACAATAATAATAATATTTTGAACCAATATAACAAACAAATACAATCACTAGAAGTAGTAGTGTAAGGTGCTAATATGTAAGGATTCATTTGAATTTAATTCTGTGAAACGCATGCGCCATAAAAGTCAAGAGTAAGGAGTTGACTAGTGAGAGTTTGATGAAGACAGAGATGTCGAAGGTTTTTTTCACCCCTCTGCATTCTAAGTGGTGGAACATGTAGCATCAAGATATTCAGTTGTTGTTCTTGTGGAATGCAGTTGCTAACATCACGCTCGACATTCCGTTTTTTTCTCTGTCTGCTATCGACTGATGAACTAGGTTTAGAATATGCGTTGGCCGAGAATGGGACTCGGAGATCCCATGTGGCTGGCGAGCGTGGTGAATTCCTGAGTCAGCTGGTTGTCTTTTGTTCAAGCAAACTGAACAAGATAACATATTATTTCATCTCGTTGGTTCTTATCAACAGCGTACAACCTAAACCAGTTACAGTATCGGTACGCCAAAATTTTAACACTAATTAATCCGATGAAAACCATTAATGTTACTCAGCTGGGTACACGAGGAATTGAAGGAGAACTAAAGATGTCAGCAAGGCTGTTCGCACGCATATAAAAAGGTTACAGACATAGTCTAGAATCAGTAACAGAAGTTGAAGATTATTTAGTGGTACAAAAATGAAAAAGAATAAAAAGCGCATGTCACGTAAGCGTCATAAGCTTTGATGATTCGAAGTGATTTAAGTAATAATAAACTGAATGGAAATCAAGCACAGTCAGTTTGTAGGAACCTATTGGCTGATGAATTCCAGTGTTGTCGACAATTATCGAAAATCCTATAAAACTTGATAGAACCGACTGGTCACTAGGTTTTATCACAATCAAGAAAATCAATCTCATAGTCAGTCACTAATGATTGAGACTCATCTGCCTTTATATTCTGACCTAAGGGATAAATAATGACGTGCCTGCCTCATGATTCGGAGTTTTCTAGACTTGATTCCTGGTAGAATCATGAATCTATATCGCTGAGGAGCCCCAAAGCAAAACGAAACAGCTATTTAATGTTTTCATATTATCAAAGGTTCTCTAAATGATGTTGGCGTGTGTTTGACGAAATCTGCCTTAAAGTTAATTAAACTGCCACAATCCTAACGGTTGGAAATCTGAAACTTGTGGAGGAAATTTCAATTCAGTGATAAGAATTTAGCTTCAATAATATTTATGGTGTAGTGTGACATAACTTTAAAAGTACTCAGTAAATTTATTCATTGTAGTATCTTAATTTTCTCCAGTAATACATAAATTAAGTATGGAAACTGATAAATAAAGTTAATTATGGCAAACAACATGATCTATCCATTAGTAAACTTAAGCATTGCATAATAACTTAAATGGTTTTAAAATAAATGTAAATCTAAGTTAAGGTAGTGATAGTATGTACACGTTTTGTATTTTGTTGGGAAAAATAGTTATTTACTACCGTAATCGACTACTCTGGCTAATGAAACTAAACAGTTTGCATATAAACGCTTCTGTCTAACGTCATAATATTGTTTCCTGTTTAGACAGAGGAGCCAAGTATGTTTGGTTCACCTTGGTGAAAGAGAAGATGACTCAATGCAAAGATAGCCAACAAAGGGAGAAGCTAAAATCAATTCACATTGCACTTGAATAAAGAAATGAAGAGGACTACTAAGCAAGACAAAAGACAGTCCCATGGTACACTGGCAAATAAAGCAAAACAAGCAGGCTACAGTTAAAAAGACCTCAGGACATTATATCAGATAACCAAGTCTCTATCTAGGAAGAGATAAACGCAGGTGAAACTTATAAAAGATGGTCAAGGGACCCTGATTACCAAGGTGGAGGGACAAATAAAACACACTTCAAAGGACTATTGAATCGGACGTCACCTGAGACTCGCCCAGAAATACCACCATTGCCAAAAGCGCACGGAGAGCTGCCTGCCAGCGGGCAACAACCCTCCAACGAAAGTAGAAATCTTGAATGCAATCAAGCTACTGAGGTCCAGGTGGGAAGGCAGCAGGGCCAAACCTAATTGCCCCCGAAGCACTGTAAACGGACCCAGAGACTACAGAAGATGTGCTCACGCCATTACCGACAAAGTTTTGGAAGGAAGGAAAGGATCCTAACTACTAACTGGAAGAAAGGATACCTTGTCAATCTACCACAGAAAGGGACTTATGCATCTGCAAGAACTGGCATGGAATTATGCTCTTGTCCACGCCAAGTAAAATAATAAGTCGCGTCATGCTGGAGAGAGTAAAAGATGAACTAGGTGCAGAACTCCGCCAGCCCCACGGAACAAGACGGGTTCAGGGAGCACAAATCATATGCTGACCGGATTGCAACGCTACGCATCATCATCGAACAAAGCTAAGAATGGCAGTCAAATCTGTACCTTAACTTCATCAACTTCGAAAGTCAGTCAACAGCATTGACCGAGAAGTAATTTGGAAACGACTTCAACACTATGGCGTGCAGTGCTCAATTCTTTATCAACCTCAGTTAACAGGTATGTGACAGTAACACGTGTTGGGTGATCCACAACGGAAAACTGAGCTAAGAAGCCTTTCAAGCGAATACAGGAGTAAGAAAAGTCTGGCTGTCAGCCTATTATCTTAATTGTGGTGAACTGGACCTAGAGCCAGACTGTGAGGAGACAGGAATACGCTGGACGACTGATAAGAAGACTCTACAAAATCTGGATTTCGCAGATGATATATGTCTAATGTCACACAAACTCGAAGACTTGCAGGCGAAAAGCAACAAACTGGCTGAAGCAGCAGGCAAGGAGGACAAGATTCCAGGTGAACATGGAGAAGAGGGAGGTGATGAAAATAATCAACTAACACCAACAACAAATAGCACCAATCACTGTGAATGGGAGAAACTTGAAAAAGGTAGATTCCTTTACTTATCTAGGAAACAACCTTTCAACTACAGGTAGGCGGAACGGATGAAGATGTCAAAGCCAGCCAGAATCGGAAAGGCAAGGTACACCTTCATCAAGCTGAAATAAGTTTGGGAATCTTCTGAAATCAACACACAGAACAATATTCGGATTTTCAGTAACAATGTTAAGTAAATTTGTGCTTCTATATGGATTAGAAATTTGCGCTGCGTATCACGTAAGGGATTTCCAACAGGCTACAACAAACTTTCATGAACAGCTGCCTTCGGTAGCTCCATGCTGAAAATTAGATAGCCAGCCAGAAAGGATTAGCAACGAGAGACTCTGGCTGGAAACAAACCAACCAACAATTGATCGTTCAAAGAATATGTAGAAGAAATTGGAGTTGGATTGGGCATATATTGAGGAGATCATCGAATGACATCGCGCGCCAGGCCCTTTAGTAGAGTCCTAATGGGAAGTTACGAGTGGCTCGTGGGTACGACGGTGACATCAAAGAGATCGTGTTGCGAGGAGGATACGAGAGATCATGGCCAATCGTGGACTTTGGTGAAGAGGACGGCAGAAAATATGAGAAAGTTGAGGTATATTGTTGAAGCCCTGTGTTCCACTCGGAACCCAAGGGAATAATAGTAGAAGTATCACGTTTAGTATTTCGTCCACGAGGCTTAGCTAGTCAAGCCATTGTCAGCGCTCTACGTTTCTGATCCCGAAATATATCTCGTATTTTGGACTACCAGTCTGATGTTTTGATTTTTTTATCTGGTCTGAGTAGAATAGGTATTTTGGGAGTTTCGGGATAAACACTTACGTTTGTATACAGCGTGTCGTGTGTAGCCATCAACATCCATTCATTTCCTTGAAGGATACCAACAGACTTTCTCACTGTTCCTACGCCAGAGTGGATATAAAACTGGATTTCCTCAGGATGGATTTCATTATCATTCTGAGATACGCAGTGGGTTGGTTCATAAGCAGTGATTATGAAGCAAGTTAACGGGTATCATGTTGTTTCCTTCCAAAGGATTCGTTCAGATGGACATGGCATATACGACTAATCATTGGAATCCAGTGAAGTAGAGATTTTTCTGCCCAGCACTAAATGCTGTTTTCACGCTAGCACATCCTCAAGAACTAGCCGAAGAACCTTCTGACACCCATAGGGTTAGTTTTGCAGATTCATTAATTTGACCAGGAGCGGATAGGTGAATAAGCAAATTTAGCTGTTGTGTGCCTGTCTCCCTAACATAGCAGACATTCATGGCTGGAGTTAACGCAATTCTAGGCAATGAATCCTACTCTCTGATTTGGTGAAGGATTCTGACATTGGTTGTTCCAATCTGAAGTTAGTATTGTGATTTCACTAGGCTGCTAGTAGCATTTTTCCTACCTTGATCACTACTAATGGTCAAGGGGT